CGCCACCGGAACCTTGACCACATCCATGACCTTATTAGCTTATTTGATGACTAGTACTTTCTTCATTAAGTTCACTTTAAAGAACTTGATCTAACTCTTCTTGATTCTTTCCTTCATGTCTCTCCTCATGGGCTTATGATGAACCTATAATTTCATCAATGGACATAGATTCTAAGTCATTTGATTCTTCAATTGCCACCATGACATGCTGGAATTTTGAAACTAAAGAGCAAAGAATTTTTTCAATGCTACAACTATCATTTAACTCTTCTCCATACCTTTTTAATTGGTTAAAAATAACCAATACTCTATAGATATAAATCAAGATTATTCAAATTCATTCATGTATAGGATTTTGAACTCACCTCTTAAAGTTTGAACTTGAGTTTTCTTCACCTTGTCAACCTTTTGTTGAGATTTTTAAAGAATCTCCTATGCTTGCTTGTTAGTGATTGCAAAAGACACCTTTTTTAGCATTCTCTCAACTAAACATATGTTGCTGATTGAGAGAGCTTGTTAATCCTTATTATGTGCCTTGTGTAACATGTCCCTTTGTCGCATAATCAAGGTAGTCTCATTGAAAGGCTCATCATAGCCTTTCTCTACAATCTCCTAAGCATCTTGTTAGCCTAAAAGGGCCTTTAGTCGAATGGACCAGCCATCATAGTTGTCTTCGATAAGGTGAAGAAATTAGAATGGAAGCATTCCGATTCCATCATTTTTTGTTTTGATTAACCAAGCTCCGATACCACTTTGTTAGGAGAAGGACTAAGTAATGTGATGAACAAAATATGTGATGGGCAAAATACAAGAATATATTTCGCTTAAGTATTTTCACACTCATTAATCACTCACTACTATGGATAATAGGTCCTCAAACTTCTACTCATTTTCTCTACAACTCTTTAGCTTTCTAATTTTTGCACACCCAAACTTATAGCCAAAGTGGCCATATTTATACTAATCTAAGGATGATTCTAGATAAGTACATCTTAGAAAACTCTTAGAAAAACTTCAAGATAATTCTTGAATGTTTGCAATGATAGATGTCTTGAGAAAAATCTAGAATTTTTTTTGCTAGACTTGGTAGATGTCTTAAGAAGAATTTAGAGATGGTTTTTTTAGACTTGTTAGACTTCGGAAAAATCTACGGAAGATTTTTGTAGAATTAGGATTTGAATTTGAGTCAAATCAAGTTTAATTTCTAACATGGTGCCAGCAAGGCCAAGTTTCAACTTGGAAGAAGATGAATAGGAGAGGGAAAATTTTTTCATGAATTTTGTTTTTGACAAAAAAAATGATGTCATTTTGAGAAATAAAGGTTTAAATAAGTCCATGCTCCTTCATATCTTTTTTATTTTGGTCCTTATTCTTTCTTTTTCTTCTTAATTGTGTCCATTGATTTGTGCCCCTTTGATTCATGTTCTTTCAATGTTCACAAATATAGACCATATTACTTTTTATTTACTCTCGTTGATTTTTCATATTTCAATGTCGACCCCTTTTCTTTCATAATTACTTTCAATCTCATCCCCCATTTCTTTTAATTTTTTATTTTGGATTCTAATTCATTTATTTCTCTTTTTATATATTATCATTACTAATTTATCCGAATAAGGAACCCATTTATTCAAAGTTCTTTTTTTAAAAAATAGTAAAATTTGTAATAGAGATTTGTAGCTTAAATTTTAAAATACCTGGATTGCTTGAAAAAAATACATAGTTTTCCTTCTTCTTTTTTGAATTTCTTTTTGAAATAGTAATAAAATAAATAAATAAACTAAACCCAATTTGGGTTACAACACCTTTTATTGTGATGTGGTATTATTGTTATTTTCAAGTTATCTTTGAGCATTTGATACGTAGTTTTTTTTTTTTTTTAATGTTACACCTTGGTTTTTTATTTTTCCAGTCACCTTTTGATTTCGAGTTTCATTTATATCATGGTTTAGTTTCTAAATGTAAAGAGTAGAGAGAAATGAAGGCAAAGTGAGAGAGAGAGAGAGAGTCATCGGCGAGGTCCATTCTAGCCACTTTGACCCTCAATCTTACTTTCAATTTGTTCGTCTCGAAGAGAAGAGTTTGTTTATAGTGTCATAAGTCATGAAATTATTAGAGGTAAATCAAGACCCTAAAATATTTTGAGTTTTTGAATTTGATTTGCATTTTTTGTATTTTTTATGTACATTAAAATATTAAAAGTGTATTTCAAATATTTCGGGTTTTTAGAAAAACAAATAGTTTTAAATAATTAATTGAAAATTTAAAATCAAATGCGAGGATAAAAAGAAAAATGATTGCTATACATGTGAGGTCTATAAACAAAGACTAGTCAATTATGACCTAGGAAAAAAATATTTAAGAAGTAAAAATAATAGAATTTACATGTTTTATTTGCTTCTTCTTTATATAATCAAAATTTATCGTATCAATTTTGTAGTAGTTTTTATTCTAATCTATTAAATTTATTCAATAAATTCCTTATAAGAGAGGTATTTTTTCAAATGTTTTTTTTTATTTTTTATTATAAATTCTAAACTCATTTAGTATAATTATGATATATAAAAAACATTGAACTATTGGTTTTGTTAAAAATTAAATATGCATCTACATACGTAACACCATCTAATTCAAATATATTTTTCATGCTAACATGATTAATTATTTTGTGAATATATATATATTCACAAAATAATCTTCTCATTAATATTAAATAGAAACAGAAAATAATTTTATATTTGTTTTGGATTAAATTTTCTATTTATATTCTTATAAGTTTTAGTTAAGAATCCATAGATAAATAAGAACAAATCATTTTTTTTTAATAGAATATTTATCAAAAACGTAAAAAAGAATTAGTTAAATACAAAATTTTGATTTAAAAATTATAAAATTTGATGTAAATTTTTTATTACTTTTTTATTCGATATATTTTTGTAAACCCACCATATACTACATAGTACATACTATTATATTAAAATGATTTTTTCAAATAACTTATCGTATTCTATCTAATCTGCTATGCATTTTATCCTGCGCTCTCACTTTAGCGTGGACAACAAACCGGTGAGTTGCTAATCTATGTTTTAATTTTGTCCCAAATGAATAGGATGTGATTGTATACAGCGCTTGCGGAATGCAACATGCTTTCATCACTCTTTTCCGGTTGAAATCACATTCTAGCCAAAAGATTTGACCACCAAACAAATTTTATAATATTTCCTGTGTTCAACTGAAATATACGTACCTTTGTTCTCCCCTGCATTTGTTTCAATATGTAAGGATAATCTCTCCTGAATCAACTTGGCGGGTGGTGTAAGGGCGTCTCCAAGTACGGTTTGTGGTCCATCTTATTAGCTCCTTTCAAATTGTTGGTGCAGCACATAGGGCCACAGACAGACTGGTGGCATTTCCTTTCTAGTCACGATAACAAACGAGTTTTGCATTTTGGTTAGTACTATGTTGAAGGGGACTGCTCTGGCGCTGCAGGGTGCTCATGAGACAGACATGTACTAGAGAAATCTTGGGATCAATTCTCGTAACCAGTGCTTGATTGATCGTAAGATCCTTATGCATTTATCTCATATATATAGCACCAAATAATGAGGCACCACCAGTAATTATCGGTCACAGCTGAAAAGATTCCCCTATATATACACACACACACACTGGCTAAAAGCTAAAGGTAAGATCACTCGTTAACATGGCCTAAACTTTGTGCGTCCCATCAGAAGAAATAGCACACAGCTTGCACATGGCTCCTGCAAGTGATTATGCATTGGTTCCTATGTCTTTTTCTGACGTTGAATGCGAAATCACTGGCTGGATTATAGCTTGAAGACAGCTCTCGCAACCCGGTTGTTAAAAAAACTAGTCTCTATGATACTCTTCAAGAATAGCTGCATTTTTAAAAACATCAGGAATTTCATGGGATAATCAACCATGGAGATGGAATGCTTTTCTCTGTAGTTAGATGAGCACCATTGAAACATTGAGAATGAGATGGAGAGTTTCTCTTCCATTTCAGCATTCAAAAATAAAAAAAGAAGAAGAAAATTAATTGCTGCCTTCGAAATTTTCTGAGGATCCATTTCGTGAAGTCATTTGGTCTAACCATTTATATTAGCTGTACGTGGAATAATACCATTTCTATCCGCACAAACATCTTACGGCTCTTTCACGTATCGTATTATAATTAATGCCACCCTCAAGATTTACATTTAAAAGAATTACTAGTTTCCTTTTCCTTTTGTACATTCCTTCATGCATCTTCCCAATAACAAAAGTAAATGTAACAAAAACCAACCATCTGTTGCTGTACACATTCCCAGTGGAGCCCCAAAACCATGCATGTGCTTTGGATTCAGCAATAAATCGAGACAAATCTCAACATAATTCCCTCTTTATAGTAATTATTTTCACCTACTAACCGCTTTGTGTTGTTAATTATGGAGTACTTTTAAACAATTACTCCAATGCTATCATGTGGCTGACTTGTTCCCCAGTGACAGCGGGGGACTTTAGCAACCGCAGGTTTTTCATTAGCTTTCAATGATTGGGGGCTTACCAAAGAAGAGAGGCCCGTATATAATTATTAAAATTAAAAGTAGGAACTGAATTCCATGATCTTTTCTATAGTAAATAAAGTTTTAACTTTTAACCATTGTATGTAAATCCTTGTGAATTAAAACTTAGCCCCCAAAGACTTCAGAAACAGAACAAAAATTAAGAATTTTTTGGCACTATATGGCCAAGAATTTCAATTCTACGCTTTGACGAACTGCTTCTTCTTTATTTAACATGGGTAGGGGGCCCCTTTGGCTACATCTGAAAAAAGAAACGTTTTTTTTTATTTAATTTTTTTAAATTATAAAACAGGACAAAAAGAGAGAGACCCACTAAAAATTCCACTTTCTCATAACAACACAGAGACAAGAGAAGCAGACATTTGTAGAGAGAGAGTGCTGTTCTATCTTCAATGTTCTATTCTATCAAAAGAAATGGCAATTGCAAGTTCAGGTACGCAATCACCTCCACTTACAAAACCAAGTCCTCAACTTGAAGTAGAGACAGTAAAATGTGACTCTTGTGGATTCACTGAAGACTGCACTCCTGCTTACATTTCCCGTGTTCGTGAACGATACCAAGGTCGTTGGATTTGTGGGCTTTGTGGGGAGGCGGTGAAAGATGAAGTACTGAGATCAGATAGGCTTATCTCCACAGAAGAAGCCTTAAACAGACACATCAGTTTTTGCAAAGACTTTCGGTCCTCGAGTACTCCCGCGAATCAAACAGAGCATCCTATCTTTGTCATGGGCAGGATTCTTCGAAGGAGTTTGGATTCTCCGCGAGCTCTTCGATCCAATTCTAGCAGTGTTTTGCCTGATGTTGACAAGATTGAAGGGTCTTCCTTGGTTCGATCAGGGAGTTGTTTCTCTGCTTTATCTCGTTGAAACTCTGGTTAGTACTGTTGGTGTTGCCAAAGTTCAAAACTAAGGTACATCCAAAAAACAGAGGAAATCTGTTTAATTTGGCCAGTGCTTTACTGATTATTGTATTAGGGCGGTCATGTTGGTTAATTAAGTTTCTCTTAATATTTAGGAAAAAAAAATTGAGAATTTAGCTTTATTTAAGGAGTTGCATTGTATATAATCATTCATATGCATTTGTCAATCATTTGTTAAATTCTTAGAACTTTGTGCTTTTGTGCTATTGCTCCTTGCTTCCTTGCTTATGTTATTTATCACAATGTTGTAGAATTCAAAAGACTAACATGAAAAAGCCAAGTAATTTTTCTTCACTTCTTTCACCAAAATATGTAGTATATTGGCCATTGTTAGAGCTGATAAATATTGCTGTTTTTGTTCTTGGCTATTATAATTCACCAAACCTTATCTTGGAATTCATGATTTAAATGGTAACTTTGTAGCTTGTACAGAAATATTGGTGCATAAGACACCGGAGCAATTCAATTCCATTTTCAGTAATATAATTTTCTGTCTAGTTTGCATGTTAGAAAGAAAGGAACGAGGGTTTAAGGAAATCTTACAGCTAGTGCTTTTAATGAAAATTGGTAATTCAAAAGTGATTAGGTGGTTTTTGGGCCCATCTGCAAGTTTGCCAGTAATGCATTATGGCTTATTTGGAAATTGGAATGTATGCCAGGTAAGAAAGAAAGTTTCTTCTCTCTCTTGTAAGTTTGGCTCTCATGGCAGCAAGAGTTCTTAGTCCCATCTCTTTCCCTTGCCTAGTAATTCATCAATAATAATAATAATAACAATAAGCTGCTTTTGCTTATATACTCGGTTAATAAGTAAATACGGGAAGAGGCGTCAGTCGGTGACACAGAAAGAAATTGCGGAGAAGATTCATAGAAAGACAGAAGACCATGTTAGAGGAAAGTAGTCATACTGCTACTGATGTCTCGAAGTGTAAAACGGGTCAAGCCCATGTCAAGTTTTTCCATTTGATTTGTGTCAATCCCTAAGTAATACCCATGGCAATAAATGCTTAGTGCTTTAGTTCTCTCTCGTGATAAAGATGTTTCTGGATTATGCTGGAGACCAAATTCTTTGAGGTTTTCTATGAACTGTTATGATGTGATAAAAAGTGACAAAAGGATGTGCAGGACAGGCCTGTCGGTGCCCTGTTCTCGTTTTGGTCAGGTTTGGGCCAACGTTTTGTGCCGTTTTTATCCTTGTAAGACGCTGTTGGCCAACTTGAAGTGCCGTATTGCAACTTGGTTTCTCCTCGTGGCTTGGCTACCGCTTATTTTCTTGCTCTGCTTGGACCCATGTCTTTGCTTGGGATGGCCATGGGGATCGGATGACCCAAGTTACGTCCAAAAAATCTGAAGATATTTTATCAGCCACATACGTAACCATTTAATTAATTATATGTAGTCCAGGTTTTGCTTCAACTTATCCCAACGGTAACTTGTTTTAAAAGCTCTAGATTTTGTCAATTCATGGGTCGACGAAGTGTTATTATCCCTGCGAATTTCATAAACATTTAGTTTTTACTTAAAGTGAGGTACCCGGCATATTTGTGGGCTTCGGCCCAATAAAAAAACAACTCATGTAAGAACATGGTTCAAGCACCTGATATTGCATGCGAGAAGAAGGTTGGATCCACAAAGTCCACCCAGACGACACTCGGACAGACAATTAAAATTATACTCGGTCCCTTGGCCAATGATAAAAGAGACTTACATCTACTATTTACCAACTAAAAGACATAAATAAAATACATTGGTTGAATAAAGGTACTTTCAAAATTATTATTATTATTATTTTTGTCAATCGACAACAATCATGATATCATCATATTTATTCAATAGTAATCCATAGATATTAGAACGTTTAACTTCTAATCAAAATCCAAAGTTGTTAACAATAAGGGGATGAACGATTTTGTTCTCTTCGTCATGCAACTTGATAAGTCTCGTAACTATGTAATATAGCCATAAGACTTAGGATAAGAGGATTTAGATCTTGTTCTTAAATAAATAAATAAATAAAACAAAACCATTCTCTTAACATCATCAATATTTATCATCTTTTTCATATCTATACTGTTATCTTTTCAAACCATCATTTTCTTTCATACATTGACTTAATCATCGAAGGATCTTTCGTATAACCAAAAGAACTTATTTTATAAATATTTCAGTTATCATCACTATCATCAATCAGTAACTCCTTAGTCACACTAGTTAAGAAAAAGCTACCTCGTTCTTTAAGGTTTACAACCTCATTAGTGGCACCCTTTATGGGAATTTAAGCTAAAAGCTAATTTCTAACTCATATTTCTTAACTTTTAAGTTCTTTCAAGGATGGAAAGTAAGAAACACTAGCCCGCGATGTAGTGGTAGAATTAGCGAGCTCAAATGCCTAGTCAATGGACCTATTCCAACTGTAACAAGTTTAGAGGTTGACAGAGGCACTCTTGGCCATGCAAGAGCAACTCAAAGCCTTTTCTACTTTTTTTTTCCAGCACCATAAGGGCTACCAGCGCCTCTGTTAGCTTTATCGTATAAGGAAAATCTTCGACCACCTCTTTTTTGAAATACATGTAGGCAATTCGTTTTGATAAGAAGGTAAAAAGGCATGACGAGATGGAAAGATAAAGAGAAGAACATTGTCGCTTTCCAAACCCTCAGAAAAGTCACTCCCACCACTGTGAGAAACAACTGATTAGCCAAGCTCTAAGCATAGGAGAGAAAAAGTAAGGGAGGAATCAGAGCATTATTGGGATCAAAGATATTACCAAGGGAAGCACCACTTGAAGGGCTCACATTCTTTAGCGACTTTTGTTAGTCTTGAGCCCATCTAACACCGAATGGAAATAAGGCAAGTAGTGATTTGATAACCCAAAACGGATCACTATGATCATAAGGTCCAAGCCTCCTCCCTTTTCGTATTTCAACACCAAGCTTCTAAAAGAATTTATCTCAATAAAGATGAACTTGGACATATATGATGAGTTAACTAATCGTAGAGAGCATGTGCAGAATGCTAGAGGCACACTTAATACTCTAGGGCACCTATGCCATGTGTAAGATCTTCCCCACCATTTTCAGGGGAACAACGTGAACGTGGCATAATAATTTGAACTCTGAGTCTATAGTTAGTTTTAAAGATCTATGCTCTAAACTCGTAGCCTAAATCTCTATTAGGATTATCGCTGAGAAAAGCTCCATTGATTTGTTCGCCATCTCCCAAAGGGAAAATAGAAGTACCCAAGAGTACCTCTCCAGGTTCTATAAGAAGATGTTGAAGGTAGATAGGTTATTGAAACCTATTACCATAAAAGTCTTACTAGAAAAAGTTTACGATGCCAGTTTATGGAGAAAACTATACTCACTCTTAGATAAAAATCTCATCTGGGTGAAAATAGTGATAGAGAGCCACATTTAGGCATAAGAGGCCAGTTTTGCTAAACAAGCACACCCTCGATTCCAAAGGCAATAAAGGAAAAGATTAAGAAGGATATGTCTTCTCAAAATCACTAGAGCTCTAAGAAAAATTCTAAAAGATTCATCCATAGTCGCATGGTGTTTCTCGGGCTCTAAATTACCCCTCTAAATGTCACTCGCATAAAGTATTATCTCCTATCCCCCTTATGAAAAGTGCTTCCAATATCACAATTCAAAAAAGTATGGTCTCTTTCATAAAGACAATGGATATAACACAAAAGATTGTTTCTTATTAATAAAGGAGATAGAGTAATTGATAGCCAAAGGTTACCTAAAATAGTTTTTAAAGAAAGGGGTTGGGTAAGAATAGAGTAGAAGGGAACCCAATGACTACCATGACTCCCTCTAGGATATCAATATCGTTCTAGGAAAAATTTTCGATAAAAAAGACTCTAACAAAGAAAGAAAAACATACGAGAAGTAATTCTTGTCACATCGTGAATGCCTAACTCATGTCATGAACCTATTATGTTCATCCTAAAGGAAGTAGAAAGATTTTTTTTTTTTTTTTTTTTTTTTTTGTATGAGGATGTCATTGTCATCACCTTAATCCTTTCTAGCCACTAGATCCACCAAGTTCTGTGAATGATGGCATCATTGTAAATATTATCTCATGAGAAGTCCTTGATTTGATGAAGATTGATGCCTTACATTATTTCATTTCAAGCTTTTATAGTGGAGATAGAAGAAAGGTAGGTATCAATCGAAGGAGCCATTGAAATACCAGTCACAATAAGCACATATCCTAAGTACAAGACACTCCAACAAATTTTTATGGTCATTCAAATGAACCTTGTATACAAAGCCATTATCAAAAAATCCTTACTCTACGAGATAAATTCGACCAAGAACACAAGATACTTGCCCTTAAAATTCCCTAAGAAGGTTGGCATAGCTATGATTAGAGATAACCAATTAGCCTTTTGTAGATGTACCTCTTTATCCTTAAAAGGAAAAAAAGTTATGATAGTCGAGGATTATAGGCAGAAGTCGGGAAAATAAAAAAAGGAATTACAAACATTGGTAGTTACAGAATTGCAGAGAATGGATTTGAGAGGAGAAGATCCTAATTCCTTAATAAAAGTTAGGTCAACGTTTATATTTAAATAGAGGAAACAACTTGTTAAACTCCTCAAATTCAAAGCAATAACTTTTCCTTTTGTCTGGCTAGTATACTTGGAAAAAGATTGGATATGGCTTTACATCGACTAAATGTTAACCCTTATTTTTCTTCGGTTAATAACATGTAAAGGATTTTTATGGAAGAAAGGAAAAAAGCGATCTCTGAAGAGGTGGACAAGCTTTTAATAATAAGATTCATAGTAAAGTCATGCACCCTAATTGGTTCAAAAGCATATTAATGGTGAATAAATCCAATATAAAATGGAGGATGTGTGGCTTGCCTCAAAGATAACTTTCCTATAACACCCCCAACCTAGGACTTATTAGGTTAAAAATATTATAGCCATTGACCTA